AACTCTATCTCTCACGAATGGTGGAGAAGAACCTTTGTGAACATGGACTAGGCCCATGGAATTGGACTATTTGGAATGAGAAGGTTAGGTAACATTTTTAAGCCCAAGGTTCAGCCTCCACCCTAAGAAAGCAGGCGTGCAACTTCAAAAAATTTTGAGGTATGGATATTTTTAAATTTGGTGCAATTTGGGAAGAATTTTAAAAAGGCCCCCATAAAAAATTAGAATTGAACTTGGATAAAGATACCAACCAGCCTGAGCAATCATAATTATATGTAGATATATAAAAATATTAAATATATATGTAAATTATTAGTTCTTGAATGATACTAGAATTATCTCTACTGTTAGATCATTTTCACTATATATATAATATACTAGCCACAAAATTCTATCCTTTTCCTTTTCTTATCTTACAGAAATAAGAAAAACCACCGTAGTGGCACTTCTGTTCATCAATTCTCCTTTCTCTCATCAGGCCCGGTCTTGAGATTTTCAGGATTCAAAGTCGATAATCAACTAATAAAATTATAGGGCCCTTCATATTTTTTTTTTCATTGAATGAAAAAATAAATAAATAAATAAATTTGAAGGTAAAGGACAAAAGATTTGTGTCAAAATCACAAAAAATACTTAGCATTATATTACAACAATTAATAAATATCACTTGATTCTCGCTCTTCTTGCATTTTTAGAAGCAAATAAATCAATCATACTTGCATAATCTAGTTTTTTTGCAAAATCATTTTCAATGGATAACAATGCCGATTATTTTAAATGGGCCTTTCAATTTTTTAATGAGTCAATTTATTTTAAGTTAGTTTGGGCTTTCCTAAATTTTTTTGGACTTAAAACATACCTAATATATTACACTAAACTATAATATAAAGGACCCCTTTTTGGGGTCTATTTTCAATGGATAACAATGTTAATTTTTTTGAAGGGCTCTCAATTTTTTAATGGATTAATTTATTTTAAGTTAGTTTAGGAATTTTTTAACTTTTTTTGGACTTAAAACATACCTAATATATTACACTAAACTATAATATAAAGGGCCCCTTTTTGGGATCTATTTTCAATGGATAACAATGCTAATTTTTTTGAAGGGCTCTCAATTTTTTAATGGATTAATTTATTTTAAGTTAGTTTAGGAATTTTTTAATTTTTTTAAGACTAAAAACATTCTTAATATATTACACTAAATTATAATAGGAAGGAGCCCTCTTTTTAGTTCTATTTTGAGGGGCCCTAAGCCATAGCCTGGTAGGCTTATGCCCAAGGCCGGCCCTGTCTTTCATTTACATCTTTTTTTATCATATAAATTAATGGGGGGCTTATGTGTAGATCTCAATAGGTGGACTTATTGTCTAATACATCATATAATAATTAGTGTTTTCTTAAAAAACAATGTTAAAACAAAGTTACTAATTGTCAGTTTTTTACGACAATTTAAAATTTCGTCACAGAAAATATCACTAATTGTCAATTTTTAACGACATATTCAGAAAATTATCATTAAAAAAGCCACTAATTATTAGTTTTTAGCAACATTCAAAAAATCATCACAAAAAAATTTACTAATTGTCAACTTTGAGCGACATATTTAGAAAATCGTCACCAAAAAAAAAAAATTAGCGACGCTTTTGCTAGGACCAACTTTCAACGACAAATAGATAGGACTTAATGAGAATTAAGTTCAACTATAAGGATCTACAGGAAATTTACCCTAAATCATTTATGGGTAAATCACACTTTATACCAAATCTCACTTTGACTGCTACACATGAAATCATGGCAATCAACCCCTTACACTTTTGGTCAAATCTCACTTTGGTCCCTACACATGAAATCATGACAGTCAACCCCCTGCACTTGTACTCAAATCCTGCTTTGATCCCTACACAAATGTCAATGTCCCTCTTTTGTTATTTGATTTTTTAATATTTAACAAAATCCAATCATGTGACAAAAATGTAACTACGAAATGAGAGTAAGAAAGGAAAATTATCCATGTTTCCCACCAATACACTTTGTCCTATGTGATAAGTACATGAGAGTTATATAATATATATATATATATATATATATATGTTCGTATGGTAAAAATTGGGACGAAAATGCAAGAAAGTAGAGCTTTTGAAATAAATAAAACAAATGCGACAGAGAAAGAAAAATGAATAGATAGAAAACTGTGTTACTTTGAAAAATAGAGTTTCATGATTCCAATTTATGCAAAGCCTTAGTTCATCTTCTTAATTATTCACAATCTGCGTTTTGTTTTAGCCTAATACAATTATATTTTGATGTAAATTTTTTGGATAAAGTGTATACTAGTGGAAAATGTAGATAATTTTTCTTTTTTACCCTCATGTCGTATTCATATTCTTATCACATGACTAGATTCTGTTAAAAATTTTAATAATTGAGTAACAGAAAGGGGATATTGACACTTATGTAGGGACCAAAGTGAGATTTTACCAAACGTACAGGGGGTTGACTGTCACAATTTCATATGCAGAGACCAAAGTGAGATTTGACCAGAAATGCAATGAATTGACTGTCATGATTTCATGTGTAGAGGCCAAAGTGAGACTTGATACAAAGTGCAATGGTGCAAAGTGTAATTTAACAATTATTTATTTTAAAGTTCTTCATGATTGACCAAACATTCATGTCCATAGAAAATTTAACATATAATGAGCCTAGTTGGAAAAACAAAATTTATGAAAAAGAAAAAATAAAGCTCATAATTATGGGCAATTGAAGCCTAACCTGAGTCTAATTTATTTAGCTTCGATCATGCTTGAGTAGACAAGTTCAAGTTATAAATTGAGCTTGGATAACTCTCAACTAGGGGTGTTTGCAAATTAGGTTACGTCAGGTGGCCCTCCATTCGTCATCTATCTGAACTTAGGCAGATTGAGAAAAATCAATCTGCATTTGTCTGCTTAGTTAATGGATGCGAATTGAGCGAGCTGTGCAAGTTGGCGAGTGGATACAAGTCAATTTGTCAATTTGGATTTTACTGTTTTAAGCATTTTTTCAAACTATTTTAGAGTAGATTTTTTAATATTTTGGGCCTTATTTGAGAACATAATTTTTTTATTGGGTAAATTACCAACAAGTCTTGAAAGATGTGTGGCCTATTTAATCCTGCAACCTTTTGTTTATACCTAAAAATTCTGTAACGTTTTTCTTCTGATTTTGGTGACCGGTGACCACGTCTTACTTCTTCTATTTCTCTTTTTGATATATAGTCACAGGTGACCAACGACCACCATCAGTTGGAGTTCATCGACAACCACCGACCACCGACTCTTTGTTTTACCTTTACCGACAGTGAAGAAGATATGTTTTCGAAGAAGATGACTAGATCTACTTAGATCTACATCACATCCAACTAAATCTTAATAAAAAAATAGTTGCCAGAATATCTCTCTCTCTCTCCCCCTTCGATCTCTCAATTTTTCTATCTTTTCTCTATTATACACTTCTCTTTTCCTATTTTAATAGAGAAAAAAATGGATCATGGTTTAAAACTGTAAAATTTTACAGTTTCATAACATTCTTTAAAACTATAAAATTTTATAGTTTTTTAGTTTGATTAATAAGGATAAATGTTAATAGATTTTTGCTTTGAAAATGTAATATTTTACAGTTTCAAAACTTGTTTTCCAGTTTGATCAATATTGAAGATTATTTGCTTAAACCCTACAAAAATTAAAAAATAACATATGTTCATTGTTGCTGTTTTTTGTTGTTATTTTTTTATTATTTTTTTTTTCTCTCTTTCAATTTATCAATATTTAGCACATTTTGCTATGTTTTTTTGCTCTAACTTCTCCATTTATTATTTTCTTTTTTTGGCAATAGTCTGGACATTTCGGTGAGTCTTTAACAATGTTCTTAACGTCCAGCGAACATTTTGAATATTCTGGCGACTTCTAGTGACATTCAGAACACTCCGACAAACATTCGGTGACTTCCCGATGATGTTTAACATTCTTGTGAGTTTCCGGTGACTGTCTAACGAAAGTCTGACAGTGGTAGGATGTAGCATCATCTGTAAATTTAAATATAAAAAAAAAAATAAGATTTTTTTTGTTACAATTAAAAATATATATGACTAATTGGTGCAAGTATTTTGTTTTGGGACTATATGGATTTTGAACTTTGTGTATGGAATTTACTGGTAAGTTCTCCTTTTGTATTCTTCATTTTTTATTAAAAAAAATAAATGTCCAACTTTGATATGTCATAAATAGCTAATATTATTACAAAATAAAAGGCCATTTTTTATTTTTTATTTTTTTTTACATACAAAGCATGAAAGCATAACATTATTTTTTTTAGGAGAGTTGGTTGATCAAGTTGGGTCGGGTGGCCTCCCATCCACTATCCGTCCAAATATAGACGGATTTGAAAACTCCCCACTTGTATCTGTCTGCCCATATTGTCGAAACCGCTTAAAAGCATATGGGTTGGGTCAGGTTGATTAGTTTTGGTGGGTCAACTGGGTTCGTTAGCACCCTACTCTTAACACAATTTAAGTTAGGCTTGAATACTCTCTTAACCCAGCCAACTCTCACCAACTTGCACCTTAACAATAAACATAGGCATATGCTTTGATTGGCTTCGGATCCCTGTTTTCTATTATTCATCTCAACACTTTCTTAGTCTCTTCGGCACATTTGATTGACCCTTTTTTTATTTTATTTTTAATATGGGATTGGATATAATATGATTATTGATAGAATTGTTAGTGATAAGTTATATCATATAATTAGATGGAATAAAAGAAATTTGATATATAATAAGATAATGGAGAATCAATTATACCATCATATAAAAGATTAGATAAAGGGAGTGATGTATTATATTTGGTTAGGATGGGATGTTATGTTTGGTTTGGGTGATTTAAATGTGTGACTTCTTATATATATCTTCCATAGTTTTCCAACTTTTAAGAAAGATCCCTAGCTTGCTATATGGTGCTTCCCTTTTTTGTTCTTTTTATGTCTTTTTTCTTTTATTATTCTTCTATAAAACATGTCTTTCCTCTTGGTCTTGGTTGAATTCCAAGCTGATTTGCATTCATCAAATGGGTTTAGCTTCTATCCCCTTCACTCAATTTAGCTGCAAAATGTTCTCCAACTCACTTCCGTTGATCTCTGAATCAAGAATTTCATGCATTCCTCGTCTGAATCCAAAAACCAACCACAAAAATTTAGATATTCATTTACCATTGTTGTGTCATCAAGGTTTGATCCATGGAAGTATCCCAACAAGGTACAAAGGTTCATCAATGGTGGCATTGGGTGCCAAAAATTCAGGATCAGGAGAGGAAGATAACAGAGCTTTGGAGACAGTCCTAAAGCTTTACACAGCAATAGGAAATAGAAACATTAGTGAGCTATCTGATGTAATTGCAGAAGAATGCAGATGTGTTAGCAACTTCATCTCCATCTTCCAAAGTTTCCATGGAAAGAAGGTAAATTCAGTAGAGTACTTGGGGACCAGAAATTCAGACAAAGAAAAAGATAAAGAAAATTAGTGTGTGCTTCATATTCATTTAAAGCGTAGATCCCACAACAGAAGTGTGAGAATTTAGATCACACATTATTTTCTTTGTCTTAATTCTTGTTCTCAGTTTTAACTTCACCTAATGGCGAAAGTCAAATCATTCTCATTTCCTCATTTAATGGTGGGTAGTACAAGGAACACAGATTAAATTACAGAATGATTCACAGAAAATATAATGAATGACTGGAATTAAATCTAGTTACGGTGAGGTCCATCCACATTGAAAATAAATTTCACTCTGTCAAGACACGAAGATCTATTTTGTGTTTTCGTCAAGTGTTCTCAACAATAGATGATTGAGATCCCATAATTTCAACTCATTAGAAATATTGGGTCGAGTGGTCCATGGCACCAGGTTTGAGTTGAAACCCAACCCAAATTAATGTCAACAATTATCATGCCTAAATAATTTTCACCCCCATTAGGAAAAAAAAGGTTTACTAATTTTTTTGCTTTTTTATTTTTATTTTTAATGTGGATATGGTCTTATCTAATTTGCATTGGATTGCTATTGCAGCAAGTAGTGGATTTCTTCTCTACCTTGATGAAATGCTTGGGAAACAACATTCAGTTTGTGGTGCAACCAACATTGAATGATGGAATGAATGTTAGTGTTGCTTGGAGATTAGGTTTGTTCCTTCTCCTCCTTGCCCCCAAGTGATATTCTTGCATGGCCTGCTCTACTCCATTTGGTATCTTTTTTCTTTTTTTATTATTTATTTGTTTATTGGTGCAGAATGGAACACACCTAATGTACTTCTGGGAAAGGGCTTCGGCTTCTACACATGCCATATCTACCAAGGGAAGGTAGTGATAAGGTTAGTGAACAATTAATTTGCAGAATAAAAAAGATTTGATCATCGAATGCACGTATTAAATATTAATAGCAAAGTAATTCCCTATACTACTTTTTATTTTTTTTTTATTTTATTACTTTGATACATGAAATGATTCAGGAATGTTGAGATGTTCATGGAACCACTTCTTCACATTGAACCCCTTCGATTGGTGAGCCGGAAGTTTAAATTACAGTTTTGTTGGAGAAATCGTATTACGATCAACTGGTTTTAATGGATTTTCTTCTCTACTCTCTTTATGCCAGAAAATGATGGGTGTTGTGCTGACTGTAATGGACAAGATTGGTTTGTATGATGCAGCCTTCAATGGCAAGGTAAAGAAGGCAATATATCTCTTGCTAATACTTCCCCTCATGACTGCCTTACTCTTCCTCTTTGTAAAGCTCTTTGGTTCTGTTTGATTATTGGAATTAATAGTGTGAGAATTAACAATAGATAAGATTAATTATCCAACTTGATTAGTGGAATAAACAATTCCCTCTTGTTCATGTTTTACTTTGCAATGGATATGGAGATATATAATTCCAATCATATATTTGTTTTACATTATTGGTGGTAGGATTAAAAAATTCTCTAATTTAAGGTAGTGATAAGGTTAGTGAACAATTAATTTGCAGAATAAAAAAGATTTGATCATCGCATGCATGCACGTAGTAAATATTAATAGCAAAGTAATTTCCTATACTACTTTTTATTTTTTTTTATTTTATTACTTTGATACATGAAATGATTCAGGAATGTTGAGATGTTCATGGAACCACTTCTTCACATTGAACCCCTTCGATTGGTGAGCCGGAAGTTTAAATTACAGTTTTGTTGGAGAAATCGTATTACGATCAACTGGTTTTAATGGATTTTCTTCTCTTGTCTCTTTATGCCAGAAAATGATGGGTGTTGTGCTGACTGTAATGGACAAGATTGGTTTGTATGATGCAGCCTTCAATGGCAAGGTAAAGAAGGCAATATATCTCTTGCTAATACTTCCCCTCATGACTGCCTTACTCTTCCTCTTTGTAAAGCTCTTCCGTTCTGTTTGATTATTGAAATTAATAGTGAGAGAATTAACAATAGATAAAATTAGTTATCCAACTTGATTGGTGGAATAAACAATCCCCTCTTGTTCATGTTTTACTTTGCAATGGATATGGAGATATATAATTCCAATCATATATTTGTTTTACATTATTAGTGGTAGGATTAAAAATTTCTCTAATTTTATTAGATTGAGTAGTAACGTACATGCTCAACTAAAGGTGATGAACTTAACCAAAATTACAAATACAAAAACCTTGAAAGAGAAATCGATAAAATAAATGGGTTAATCGAGCTACACAATTGAACTTAACCCATTCATTTTATTAGTTAAATAAGCAAGAATTTAAGTTAAATTATTTTAATACATAATCAATTTTGACCTGACCTGTCCAAACCCACCTCACTCAATATAAATGACTGTACATATAATGAAGTACAATTGGTGCACTTTTTCTTTTGTATTCTTTTTTTTTTTCTTGGTCATCTCTGTTTACATGTATGCAACTTGAAGCTTCACAAAATCTTGAAAGCAACCTTAACTACACAGTTTTCAACTTTCCGCTACCATTGACCTGTAACAACTATTTTCATGTACCAACTTTCCACTACCATTGATTTGATGTTAATCATATTTGAAACTAATGAGAACTGAAAATCAAGGACACTAAGATTTTGACAGCCATTCAACAATCACAACCATAATGAACATCATATGCCTCTCCTCCTGTTTTGGATCATTAAAAAAATAGTTGACTTTTGAAATAAGAAAAAAAGTAGAAGAACGAGTGAGAACTAAAAAAGCTACTAAAAAATATAAAAAGTCAACTTTCCCATTAACAAAACAAAAAATATATTTTTTTAGCAATTGTCAAACACATCGATTTTTTTAGCCACTAAAAACGCAAGGCCAAACCCCACTTTTACCCATCTCGGCAGGTAAACCAGGCATAAAACAAGATAAAGCAATTCTTTCTTCACAAAATGAACAGATTTTGTCAAACACATCAACTTTTGGCCAATGCCAAGCTCCAGTTTTGCCCATCTTAGCAGGTAAACCAGACGTAAAACAAGATAAAGCAATTCTTTCTTCACAAAAATGAACAGGTGCTGCATCTACACGATACATTTACTGATCACTACCAAGAAGTTGAAAGAATTTACCATTCCACTCAGCTTCACCTTCTAATCCATCCCAAAGCCCGGTTAGGTATTTGCATGGGAAAACAACATAAGATGAGCAACAAAACCTAAACCAGGCTAATGGCAGAATAATTACAACATATCTCTTGCCATTAGCCCAAGGTACATTTTCATTCTACTGGAAAATAACTAATTTGAGTCACATCATAACATCTAACCACGTCAATAAACAAAGAAGTAACTAAGAATTAAACAAACAAAAAAAAATAAAAGATCAACATGTTCATTAGCTATCATCCATCATGGCATCAGAAACAACTATATGCCAATAACCCTTCAGACCTGCAAGAAATACAATTGAAAAGTTGAATTATTCAACAATTGAGCTGGGAGCCAAATATCCTGTTACTTTGTTAAAGGTTAAACAGCAGCAAGCAGATGACCAAATATCAAGGATGAAGATATTAAAAAAATAATAAATAAAAAATAAATAAATTGGGGATCAGTCTCTGACTACTAAATAGGTCAAAGTTAATAGGTTAGACATACAGGATTTTAAGGTCATGAAACACAAGGCAGCAAAGATGGTGATGCCAAGAACTTGGTCTTACAGTCCAACTTTATGTGTCTTCTTTATGGCAGGCCAAGGAAATCAAAGAGACAGCTTAGATTTGGTGTTTTTGTAGGGCAAAGTCACGCACGTCAAACTAAGGCAAAATCAACACTGGATGTGAAGCTAATGATATTTGTACTGAAAGTCCAAGGAAAGTGCAGCTGAATTTTCAGAATTCTATTATTAATTTCTATTCAGGCTTGGAGACTCTAATTGCTCTGTTTGGTTCCCTGGAATGGAATGATCAATCCATCATAATGTTCATTTCGCACATTTGATTTACTAAAAAAATGATGAAAAACACATCATAAATGGAGTCATTATTCACCATGGCAAGGGAATGGACATTCCATAGGGAAGCTAAGGAATGACATTTCATTTCAGTGAACCAAACACTACATAAGCGCTTCGTTGGATAAAAGCACAACTAATAAACACCAGAAAACAAAATGCAGCAAATATAACAGAGAACATGAATGAGGAAGCTAACAGACTACCTGTCATTGAGGTAAGAATGATGAAAATACATGGTAATATAAAACACCTTATCAATTTAATGGTTCCCTACAAAATGAAACTGCACTTTTATATACACATAAGTTGTCCATTTGCTGAGTCAGTTTCAGTCTTAAACTCACCAGTTTACATAAGCAGACATCATCACCGCTTGAATAGATGATGGCGAACCAACATCTCAGGTACACCCAATGCGGAAATGCTTTCACATCCAAGAAGCTTCTGAAGCTTTGCATCACACAATATTGCCATTGAGTTCAGAGGATCCTATAAGTATACAAGCAAAGCCATAAAAATTTGAATTACAAAATGATTCCTTCCCTTAACCTAGAGTTTGGAACACTGATAAACCACTGCCAAAAAAATATACAAATATAAAAAATAAAACCCTAGAAAAATTTTAAAACATTTAACCACAAATTATTATGAGGTAATACACACACCAAAAAAAAAAAGAGAGATAGGCCTTGTTTGGTTTGTTTTTGAGAAAAAATTTTGGAAAAAATTCTCTACAAACAAATTTTCAAGAGTAATCAAACCAAACAAATTTTTCCAAAAAAAATTTCAAAATTTTGTTTGGTTACCTACTTTCCAAAATCACACTCTCTCTCATACACATCAAATCAATCATTTTTTTTAAAACTCTCTCCCCAAAACAATTTTCCAACCAAACAAGTTTTCGTACTTTTTATCTCAAAAACTACTCTACAAACACAAATCAAACACACCCATAAAATCTCAAAGAAAAGAAGGTCGGAACTAATTTAAAATTTGTAACAGGAAACAACAAGAGCAACTGATCAACAACAACTAGCTACCCAGAAGAAATGAATATTAAGCACTGAACTTATTTTCTGCAAGAAAACGGTCATAAAGATTAGCAATATAGCACAAGTTGGCAGATTATATCAACTTTTCGGACAAGCACAGAATATCAGCTGTTAGACAATTAACAAAATACCAGCAATATCAAGTGCAGCTCCACCCATCCACTCCAGAGGTGAAAACATGCAATTAAAAATAGAAAAGCAATCGCTCTGGCATCAAATACAGGTGACAAAAATCGCAAGTATTGGATAAACTTACTAAATCAAGATATAAACTTGACAATTGTACATGATATTTAATAGAAGGAACCAAACAAATCACTGCTTGAGCCATTTTAGGATTCGAAGTCTCCAAGGCACTTGTATGTATGACCCCAAAAAAGAGAAAGTCAGAGAAAATGCCTCGTCACTAAAAACTAAATAAATGGCACAGATATGCCAACTTCACTGCCTACCTCCAATTGGTTAACCTTTATGTACTCCCAAATGCGGCTTAAGGCCTCTGATTGGAGCATCTCCCTTTCTCCAGTACCAAAAAATTTGGCAAGTGCTTCAGATATTATCACAGGAGCTGGACCAGGTTCTGTACTTTCAGGTGCAGACTCGACATCTACCTTCAATCTTTTAGATTGAACTGATTCTTCTGTAAATATTAAACAGAAAGAAAATCAATATAAAAAACTAGAGCAAAGTCATTTTACGATGAAAATCATGTTCCTCTTACGTACTTTTCGGTCCAAGTGGAATAATATGTTTAGCAAGCAGTTTATTCATCTTGAACATATCGGTGCAGTCTGTTTCAAAAACCAGACGCAAAGCATCATCACAGATTATCTTTCTCTTGTTACTTGGATCCTGGAGGTTGTTTTTCCTAATATATGCCCACAGCTGCTTCACAATCTGAACCAAGCCAAATGAGGGTTTTAATATGCCCATATAATTAGGGGTCGTTTAAAATAACAGATCAAACTGAATGCAAGAAATAAGCTTGGAAAAAGAAAGAAGAATGAGAAAGAAAATGCTTGGTCTCAGAATCATAACCTCGGTTCTTGCCAGGGCTGGCTCTCCAACAATGGTCTGAAGTTCAGGTGAAACACCACAAACCTTGTTTAGACCCCCTGGCCCACCTCTTCTTTTGGTTCCAGCAGGAGCACTGTATGAAAATTTTAATTCACAAAGACAAATCAGTCTTGCAATATAGCACAAAAGGAGGCTATCTTTGGTGGGTTAAATGAAAAGACTGAAGAATTGTAGATTAAGAGTCTAGCACATTCAGCAATTGTACATAAGATGTTATCACTCAACAAAAGAGACATATTATATGATTATCGCAGGTGAGATTGCATAGCAATCTTTCAACTAACAACACCCAATAAAATCAAATTGGTGGAAAAAAAGGCAACAAATTTATTTATGCATCATCATAATTACATCCCCACTGAGAACTGTGTACTCTTTTATTTTATTTTATTTTAGTACACTGATTTTCTGTCAGTATAGGAAAGATGTGATGTGACACAAAAGTGATGAAATGCCAAATAAGCTGCTATGCAATAAGAAGTACCAACAAGCAGCTGCACCTGCATATAACTGGTTAACTGCCATCTCACATATAAATCATTAAACATTGCAGATGATAAACGCTAAAGCACTAGCCGCTAGAAGGAAACCTTAAAAAAGCATTAATGGTTTCTACACATAAATCGAGACTCCAAAATATGATTTGTAGCTAATTATATTTCATGGTAAAAAAAGAAGATAAAAAATAAGGAAAGAAATCTGCATCCGATTTCCCATGCGAATGATGATGGTGGGGTGCTCCCCATCAAAAATGGTGGTTGATTAATAATGAAGTACGCCATTCTAATAACACAGCCACAAGCCTACGAAACAGTTATTTCTTATGGTATATAATGTTAGACGATCAAAATACTTTTCTTTTAAAATGGAAAGACATCAGGTTAGGAAATTGGTCAAGGCTAAAATTAGAAAGCTGAGATCAATCAACAGCAAGACAAGAAAGGATGGCGCAAAAAATAGTGCACATGTAACTAACAAAAGGTAATGACTAAACCAATCTTAACTAATCTTTGGTAGTATTGGTTGCTTGCCCCATTTTATTCTAATTCAAGATTCTATTCGAATGATGAAACCCGAGCATCCGCCGAATTGGTACGGCGGATGTATCAATCCAATACAAATGGTTCATTCATTAAGAAATTGACAGGTTGGAAGCCCGGCAAGGTCATGCCATCTCTTTGGTCAATATTAAAGGATCAAAAAAGGTCTAGCTACTCAACTAGTCAAGAACAAGGTCCCATTATACAAGCAAAAATCTTTCCCTTTCTCTTCCCCTTCATTCTCCTTTTCATGTTCATCTGGAAGGAAGAGTAAATTGACCGCCAGCAATTGGTCATCGTTACTAGCAAGCTAGTGCTTTTCCCAGCCTTTCACAAGCTTGCTTTGCAAAGTCTAACTCTCATTGGCCACCAACTCAGCTTCAATTTACAGTCATTCATCTCTGTTAACGGTCTATGATAAAAGAATCATGCCACCACTCTTTAACACCTATGAAGTAGGTTAAACATCCAACAAAGCAAGCATTGAAGGATGCTCTAGAAAAACAATTGCATGCCGTGGGCGCACGCCAAAATTCAATGAAATGGCTTGGGTATGGATCAATAATAGGAGTGTGATATGTCACAAGTTGAATGTGATGCAAGGATAAGGAGAAGAACAAAGAGAACACGTATCAGATATTGGCCCAGTTTGGTAGAGCTTATTTCTAGCTTATTTCAGCTTTTAGCTTAATTTAAGCTATTTTGATGTGTTTGGTTCAGCTTAATAATACAGCTTATAGCTTTTTGTAAGTCAAAAATCAACTTATTATTTGAGTGGGGGAGGAGAAACTTAATTTATAAGTCAAAACTTATGTTCACAGTTATAAGCTATAAGCTGTTAGGCTATAAGTTATAATTACTTTCTCACAGCTCTACCAAACGGGGCCATTCAGCAATAGACATGGCAGCCCAAGGTACAAGACAAATAAATACACTATATACACCAAATATAGCAAAACAAGTCCGCAAACTTTGCAAGTGGAGCCCGTTACCATTAGTCAAGTGATTCGCTCAGTAAACGAGTAGAAAAAACCCTTCTTTCAAGTCAAGTGGAAGAAAAAGATAATGTGCTCCCGGAGAACTGAATCTATCCTTTTGGCTCATGGCTTTTGTCCAAGACGGACCCATTGAAGTATCTATTCGAGAAGCCAACATTATCAGGAAGGACTGCTCAATGGCAACTGTTGTTATCAGAGTTCAACATCACTTACGTCACGTCCCAAAAGGTTATTAAAATCAGGATCCTACATAGGTTTGAGAGGGTCTCATGGATTAGATCGTAGGATCGGATCGAGAATCGTAAGATTCTACTTGATATTAAAAATAAGGTAAAAATACAAGTACATAATAAAAATAAGGTAAAAAATCATAAAACCAACAATCCTACCTACGATCCCACTGCAATTCCATACAATCCTACTTGCGATCCTACTATAACACCAATCCTACAACGATTTGGATCGTTTTGACAATTTAGGATCGTAGGATAGTACCATCCTACAATTCGGATCACAATTTTGATAACCATGATCCCAACTACTTGAGGTAGGCTACATAATCGGTGTTCGCCCTTTAGCTTTAGGCTACCTTGTATCTGCTATTAAGGGGTTGTTTGAGATGACCTAAATAAGTGCACTTTTTGTCTTTTTACGAAAAGATGTGTAGAAAAGTAGAGAGGTGATGTAATGGAAAAAAGATAAAAAGATGAATTATTTGGGACTTCCCAAACTTGGCCTAATTCAAAAGTGATAATGACTTAACATACTGCCTTAACCAATGGACCTTTTTTTTCCTCTTTCTTTCCCTTCTAACTTCAACTCAAACCAAATTACATCTTATCAGTACATTCAAGAACAACAAATGGTAAATAACCTCATACGACTTTTTCAAAATAAACCATTTTGTATAGTTGTATGCTAAAGCAATATCTCTTTTCAATACATTTCTAATGAACAATATGTAACTTACCATATAAAAATTGTAAAGGTCATGACCTAGTGCAATAAAAATTCTCATCTACCCTAGAATTGTGGTGGGGGTTTGAGTCAAGAGAATCAACCTCTTTAGAGAGAACACGACATGCCGAAATGGCAAATTTCAAAAAATGGACACGATACACTTAGAACATGTTAAAAATTTATATAAATTTATTATATGTCAAATATATGAATAATTTATTCAAATGTAATAAAAATAATAATAAATAAATAAATAGAAAACTACAGTACACTAATTAAAATTTAAAAGTAATATACTCAACAAAGCTTTAAACCCTAGTTGCTTAGGTAGGCTACATGAATTCACCTTCAACTCTAGGCTACATGAATTCACCTTAAACCATAGGCCACTTTCCACAATACCTCAATGCCTCAACACATGGTCTTTTGGCCTATTTATTGTCCTTGTAAGGCCATCAAATTGAACCATTTGCATGCCAAACCATCTTAGGATAACTTTCATCTATACTAGATGTCTTCAACTAAGTAAAGTACATTCTCTAGCTATATACTAAAGTAGAGAGATTTATTCCCTTTCAGTAAAATTGTAGAACATTACAGGCTTTTGCACGTTGGAATTGCAAATCACTCAAACAATGTCTACCTGATAGAAATAATTTTATGATAATTGAACAATAACCATCCCTGCTCAATACACACCAAACAATGCGGACTTTTTTTTAGCCAGTGAACATTTTTGCACAAATAACATTGCTTTGGTCCAGCAAAATCAAACCATGATCCAATATAATACCATTACATTACATCCATTGTTGAAAGATGAAAAACAAAACCCCACATTCACGAGGAATTATCCTATCTTCTGGGAATTCCAACTAGGTTGTGTGCCCACAAGGTAATTGTAGTTGTTTTATGTGAAGCATAGGAGAGAAAATAGGATATAGTGGGTATATAACCAATAGAATTGTAAGGAGATATCGTACGGACCTATGTGATGATTTCTCCTACATTCACACTTTGTTTGTTTTGATAGAAAATGTTTTCCCATGTTTGTTTGCAACCTTGAAACTAATGTACTTGTCATTATATGCTGGTGGTGGTGGTTGTGGTGAGGTGAGGTGAATAGAGGTAGTGATGGCGATAGTAGTCGTGGGGTAGTGGGAGGTGGTACTCAAGCACCCAACCTACACAAGGGGCTTTGCGTTTTTCACCATTCAAAAGTGAATTTCACATTTTCGGCTCAAGTAAGTTTTTTTCTTTTTTCTTTTTTTAACCCGTAGGACTTTTGTTTCTGGCTGTTTCCATTGTAAACGGCAGAAAATACCAAAAATTGGAGCGTCAAAGTCCCCAAATTTCACAACAACATAGCAAAAATCCTTTTATATATTATTATTACATACAACCACCACGCCACCCAAAACTAGGGTTAGGAATTAGGATGCCCGTACATAGCCCCCAAATTTTAAACAAATAAACCCCTAACACTATCAATATCACTTCCAACATACGATTGGGGGATAAAAAACAAACCTTTCCTTCGGGATTGGAGAGGCATTCGTGGCCTCATTCTGAACATTTGCTTCCCGTTTGGGCAGCGGTGGTTGTGGCCGCGACTGAGACGACTGCGGCGGCAGAGGGTTGCGGAAGTTGAGCTCTTCGACGGCGCGGTAGAGGTGGCTTTGGGGGTGTTGGAGGTGGTGTTGGTGTTGGTGTTGGTGAAGGGCAAAATGGGGAGGGAATTGGGGGTATTGTTGGAGGGCAAAATGGTCTTTAGGAGGGTAGGGTTGGGGCTGGGGTTGGGGTTGGGGTTGGGTATGTGGTCGGAGAAGGAGGAGGTTGATCTGGTCGCTGATGAAGCTGGCTTTGTGGGATAGGTCTAACCCTAGCTTCGCTTCCAGCTGTTGCACGACGCCGTTTATGGTGGTGACGTCGTTAGGGTCAGATTGACGGAGCACAGTCTCCACTCCTTTTGCTATCTCTTGGTCCGACACCATGGCTCTATGCTTTTTCCTTCATATAAAACTTAACCGAATAAACGGACTCTCAAACGTCTCTCTCTGTGCTCTCTCTATCTCTATCTCTCTCTCTCTCTCTCTGTAGTCTCTGCTCTCTCTCTCTCTCTATCCCTTGCCTGTTCTCTCTCTTTCTCTTTCTCCCTCTCTCTGTCTCTCTCTCTCTCTCTATATAAGTACAGAAATTAACGGAAATGCCCTTTTAGATGTACTATCTTGTGAATCTCGAAAATACATTCTTACCCTTGTCTTATCCGCCGGGTGAGAGGGATGGTTAATGGTGAAATTTTTTAAAAATTGCCCCTTGCTGCCAAAATATAAATTTTAAGGTACTATTTGGAAACGAAAAATGCTTGGATCTTTTTTTTTTTTTTTTTTTTTTTTTTTTTTTTTTTTTTCTACATATCGCTCTAATTTTTTTTAAATCTCAACTATTAAATGTATAGAACCCACACAATTAATGGCTAAAATCCATTGAGAGATCTCTAAAAAATGGGTCTTAATCATTGTTGATTTGGAAACCCTCTAATTATTTCAAAATAATATTTTATTTGGATGGAGGGGTTTGATCATAAAAAATAATAATAATAATAATAATAAAAGGAAATTAGGAAAATGAGATTACTCATGATTTATTTGAATGATTAATAAGGTGCCTAATGGGTGAGAAATGAAGAGAAATTGTAAGAAAATCAAATCAAACCAAACTTAAGTTTTGTTTTAACAACAAGAAAAATGATTGAGATCTTCATTTTTTTAAGACTCTTACAATTTTTTTTGGATTTCCACCATTAATGTTGTGAACCTCACATATACATGAGTGGGTGCCATACATACATCAATGGTGGAAATTTAAATAGGATTGTGGAGATCTTCAAAAAATAGGAATTTCAAGCATTTTTTTTTTTTTTGTTTTAAATCAAAAGTAGTGAGATTTGACGAGAAATCAAAAGTACTCTTATAACCATAATTCATCTATACAAAAACATAAAAAATTATAATCATTTCTTTTCTTTTTTTTATTTTTGAATCCAAACGGAGTGTAAGGTTTGGGATAAACTAAATAAGTGCATTTTTTGACTTTTTATGAAATATGAATTGGGTATGGGTTGAGTTTGAAGTGATGTGGTAAAGAGGTGATGTGACTTAAATAAGATGACGTGATTTAAATAGAATAGTGACTTTTTGATTTTTTTGACTTTTTTTTATTATGTCAAACCAAGCTATTTAATATGATCGGTATTTAAGTATAATATTCCACGGTATTCCAATTTCTAAATTAACAAGTACAAATAAAAAAAATTAATAAATAGTAAGACTTCAAAAATAATGAATTAGAATTAATATTATGGGTTGGTTTGTATGGTACGGATTTACTAACTTAGGTTATACGAAGGATAATATTAATTAATTGACGCTAATATTTTTTTTAGATGGTTGAGGTTAATAATTTATTATATTTATTAATATCATTACATTATTAGATATATATTATAAATGTAATATATGTTTGAAACAATCGGTTCTAGTTTAATTCAGTGCACAAAGTATTTAAACATGTATCAAATCGAAAATTGAAAAAAAAAATCAAACAAAAAAAATGCACAAACCAATTCTTGTTACAAAATAAACCAAATATGACCGATTCAGTCAAGTTCAATCAATTTGGTCAAATTTTTTGATTAGGCTTACATCCCTACTATGTATTGTTATTATTATTGAAAAATGTACATAACATTATTAAAATGTTTGAAGGATAAATAAAAATATGTAAAAGTATTTTGCAATATATAAAATATATATTAAGGCCTCGTTTGGGAATAAATTTTTTTAGCAATTTTTTGACTTTTGGCTAAAATATGATGTAAAAAAAACTAGAATGTTTGGGATGATTTTTTGATTTTTTCACGAAAAGATGTCAAAAAAGTAGAGAGAAAATGAAATATTTAACTTTTTTTGTATAGGTTGTTGATTTTTTTTTTTTTTTTTGCCTTAAATTGCCATAACTATACTCAGTTTTCACAACTGGGTTAGGTAAGCTGGAAACTACCTCATCAAGGTTCAAGCCAAAGGTCATGTTTGATTCACAAGATTAATAGTGAAGTATTAATAATCCTATTAAATTAGTGTGGTATTCACTATCCAATTGGATTAATAATCTCACCCCTACTCCCATTACTAATAATCCTACAAATTTGTTGGATTAATTATCCATTGGATTAATAATCCTAAACTAAAGCGTTAAAACAAACATAGGATAATTGGGCCCACGGATTGATAATCTCAATCCCATACTTTAATCCACCCAATCAAACATGCCCTAAGATTATAAATATTTTGACATTATATGATTCTTATTGACAACCTTTATATTATCATTAGTAGGACCATTCATAATTTTAAGTTTACTCAATATAATTTTTCAATTGAATATAAAATTTTATATTAAAATTTCATATTTAAAAAATATATTGACTTGATATAAAATTGTAAAATTTAAAGTGTATTAAAAAAAAAAACTTGCTCACATTTGATTATCACGCTAAAAGTAGGATTGTAAATGGAAAAACATGTGAGACCTATTATATTGTTAATTCGATATTTGATTGTTAGATAAGGAGTAAAGAATTAGATGGGGGGAATATGTAGATCCCAACGTGTAGTCTAATTTTTTTATTTATTTTTCATGATACTAAATTTTAAATAATTTTAATATATGAGAAATTAAATAAAGAGAAATAGAAAATTAAATAATAACATAGGTATTGTTGTGATGTTACAAAAATTAAACCTCTAAATTAGACTTGATTTCATAAAAAATAACTTAACAATCAATCGTGACCTTTAGCTAAAAAGGTGTCGTTAACAATTGAGTTAGGTTGATTTTTTTTTTTTTTTTGGGATTTTTTTTTTTTTTTGTGTGTGTGTTAAATTAGTTAAAAAAAATTAAAATAAATTTAAAATAAATAAAATAAAATGTCATATTTAAATTATATTATTTATTTTTTTTATAAAAATCAAAAAAATTAAAAAATTAACCTAAATAATTTTTTTAACCTAAATTAAAATAGTCAATAAATTAAAAAAAGTGAATCCAACTTTCCAAATCAAGCCAGGCAGTTTTACCTTCGTCTACGAGCTAGTGACGATAAATGTGGAAACTGAAGGGGAAAGAAAAAGGTGCTAGTGGTAATCTCAATTTTTAAATTAAAGACAAAGATATAAATGAGAAAAAGATAAAGGTAGATGAGAAAAAAGATAAAGGAAGGACTTAAAAAATAAAAAATAAACAGATTTGGCTTGTTGTGACCAACAGTTTTGAAATGATTATTGGATAATATCCTTTGGTGGAGGTAGTGCCTTTAACGGTGAAAGCATGAGCATTTTGGTCAATTTATTAGCATGGATTTTCTGGTTATGACTTTGGAACCGTAGGATACTGACAGTGGGGTTTGGTCAACAACCGATGGATTGTTTGGGATTTGTCCGATGGGGCCAAAAATCCCCTCCCTTTCCTATTTCGTAATCTTTCACAGTGGTGAGACCCTATATTTGGATGATTTTATTTGTACTTAAATAATAATTTAATATGTATAATTAAAATTTTAAAATGTTAGTTTTTGACATGAGTAGACTTATAAAGATTATAGCCCACTATGAACAAGTCAAGCCTACCATTTAGAACTCAATACATAATTCAACTGATAAAGCTCAACATGGTTGGAAGTCAACATGACATTAAGAACCAATGACACTCAGACACGTGGCAGGTAAAGGACAAGTCACATAAGCAGATAAAGATCCTGCAAAGTTATTACACTGTACATCAGCCATTAATGAAATCCCTTGCAGCATTTATTGCGATAAGCCCTCCCCGTCGAGACAGAACGGCCTCACCATGAATAAGGCAAGCTAGAGCATAGACTTTCGGCCATGGCGACAGGTCGGAAGGGACAACAAAATGATTACCAGAGGATATAAGCAGACGTCGAAGATAAGAAGAAGGTTAAGCTTTCTATCTCTAATCTATCTCTACATTTCAGCTCTTTTTCTAACTTGCTCGTCGGAGGGTTCGCTAAGGGACTCCCTGTTCCCCGTTGAACTATTGTGCAGGTTCCTCTGTGGGCTTGGTCACTCGGATACCGATTTGGGAAGCGTGGATCAGTCCGACCCGTTCCATATGGAACCCACAGTATCATCAGTTGGCGCCGTCTGTAGGAAAGCTTTGCTCCGCGCGCCAATTGTGCTCATTGTCGCCGGAGACCCTGTCCCAATAACCCTTTCCTGCCACCCACCAAGGTGTATGGTCACGACTAGATAAATGGCTTCTTACCACAATGTTGTCGACCACCAAGCCGACCTCCCCAATTCAAACAACCCACCACAGTATTTCACCGAGCTCACCAAGAGCATTAACCTTCTGGCCGAGCAAAACCAAGCCCTAATTAATGCTCTACTCCAAAGAAACCCTCCTACGCCCCCTCCACCACCTCCAGATATCCCACCCAACCAAGAACGAGCCTCGAGCCACACTATCCAACAGCCCCATCCGCCCAACTTGGAGGGCTTGCGACCACCTCCCCCAGATATGAACCTACCACCCCAGGCCCCACATCCATCGGTCCAAGCACCCACCCCCGAGGGAGAGGCCAGTAGCGTCCAGCCCCCGTTCCCTTCCGGTAGTGACAACGTCCCTTTCTGGGATGCAGAACTCGAAGCCATGAAGCTCCAGCTCCAAGGAGTCATGCAAAACATACCGAATAAACCATCCACCACAACCAACTCACCATTCGTTGCCTCCATCCGGGACAAACCTCTACCGTCTAAGTTCAAAATGCCCACCATCGACTCTTTTGACGGTACAACAGACCCAGTCGATCACTTGGAAACCTACCGGACCCTCATGATCCTCCACGCATTCCCTGATGAAATCGTGTGTCGGGCTTTCCCCGTAACACTCAAGGGGTCGGCTCGATTTTGGTTTAGTCAACTGCCAGTAGACTCTGTCTCCACTTTCCAGCACCTCAGTGACTCATTCCTCAACCATTTCATCGGAGCCCAGTGCCAGCGACATCCGGCAACCCAACTCCTCAATATCCGTTAGACTGAGGGGGAGTCGCTACGCAGTTTCGTTACCCGCTTC